CACGCACACACTCGGGAATCGGATTTGCGTTTTCTGCGTGCAACAGTGAAGTACCTAGCCGCTACACTACAGACGCTGGTGAACTATACGTAGTATACCTTACCTTCAAATTCAAAACACAGTTTTGTTTTTGTTCCTGCCCAGGTGACCAAAGTCCTAGAGAAAGACGTCAACTACTCTCACTGGAGGTCAACTCAGGAGATGGACAAGACCCGCCAGTCTCTCAGACGTCTGCACGCCTTCCAGGAAGTGCTCAGGGACGAGTATCCCGCCAAAAACTTCGTTAAGCCGAACAAACGTCAAACAAATTCAGACGGTGTTTGGTGTAGCATCAAAGACAGTAGATCCGACCAGGCTAGTCTGAGATCTATCGACATGCGAAGTGGAGCTGCAGACGGAGATGATTATTCTCAGCGAGCTTCAATTACTGAAAGTAATGTTCCTTTATATTCTCTTACAGTGAAGCAGAAAGCATCCGAACAGATCCCAAAAGAAGATCAAATGAGATCTGCAGACACAGTAAAACGGACTCAAAAAGGACTCGAACGTTCTCTAAAAGGAAAGCAAAAGACATACAAATACGGTTCAGCTGTGATGTGTGAGAAATCGAAACATGACCTCAGAGGAACCCTTAAAGCATCGGAACCCGTCTTAAACGAAGAGTGCAGAACCTCTGGGAACGCCATGAGAAAGAAACAGACACCACAACGCACTCTGAGTGGGCAACTAAATAAGAACCAAAGTGACCTCACAGACAACAACGTCGTAGACGTCAGACGTCCAACAAAGGGCACAGATCAGACACTGCTAAACCGTCAGTCGCGATCGACGGCAAGGGTTCGATTCCTTGACGAGACGCCGGAAAACGCATTGTCAAACACACCACTCACAAGCCGAACTACGAAAAGTATATCCATAGGAGACCATTCAAAGCAAGAAAAAAGTACTATAATCAAGTTCACCCCAACAGACGTGGATACATCGAATGCGGTCAAAGACAACGCTGCAACTAAAACGTGTCGAAAAGATGGAGAAAAACAAAATATTCATCCTAATATAATACGTGTGAAAAGTGATAAATTTCAACCTACACGAGTCACAAGACACACAGACGTCACAAGTACTCACCATGAGCCGATGACGTCCCCACAAAGCAAAGACAAGGAAAGTGATAAATCGTCGTCAGGAGAAGGTTCCGATACATATTGTTCTGACTCATGTAAAGGAAATAAAAAGAACAATAATATCCTTCCTGCCTACGTCTATTCCATGGGCTTCTCCGACGCGAGAATCCGGGAGCTGGAAGGGAAGAGACTTGTTCGAAAGGAAAAGGTAATCCAAAAGATTTACAGTCGCGGGTTCGACATGAAGACTTTGAGGGCGGAGATAGAGAGGAAGCTCAGGTCAGGGGACCCTGTGAGACTGCGCAGACTAGAGACACAGAGGTTGTTGGGACAGAGCCGAGAGACAGCTGAGAGGTGCGGACTTCTTTCTTGTGTTATTGCTCTTTTTTTTT